TTGGGGGGGCTCCCCGGGGCCCCCCCCCCCCGGAGGAGCCTCAGCTAGGATGACCTTGTGGTTTGGGCAGATGACGTTAAGGAGAGACGCTCCGACAAGTCACATCAGCCCAAACTGTGGAGGGCTTTGTATGTGAATGTCAAAACCTTGAACCTGGTCCGGGACGCCATGGACAACCAGTGGAGGTGAGCCAGAACTGGAGGGATGTGGTCAAATGTGCTTCCACCAACCACCTGTCTGGCTGCCACATTCTGAACTCACTGAAGTCTCCGGATCAGATTCAAGGGAAGCCCCACGTAGAGGGCATTGTAGTCGTCAATCTGGGAGAGGATCAGGGTCTGCAGCGAAGTCCTGAGGGAGTCCTCACCTAGGTAGAGGTGAAATTGGGCGATAAACCTAAGCGGGTTAAAGGTTGATCTGGACATGGATGCAGTTTGGGACTCTGACGAAAGAGCTGGGTCCAGAAGAAGCCCAAGGGACGCACTCGGTCCCTAAGCTGGAGAGGAGGACCTACCATCCAGCCTAGGGACCCTCCTCTCTAACCTATCGGAGGTTCCCCCCAAGAGCAAAATCTCTGTTTTGTCCGGGTTCTGTTTGAGCCTTTTTGTCCTGGTCCGTTCCAGTGATGAAACCGCTTTCAAGTGCAGGCCCAGAGCGGTCGCATCGAACTGGGTGTTTAAAAAAATCTGATCTAGGCCAGTGGTTCCCAACCTTGAGAAACTGGCCAGCACAGTGCTAGTGGTGAAGGTTTCTGGGAGTTGTAGTTCAAGAATCATCCCCCCCCCCAATCAGGCTTTCTTGACTGTCCAGTTTTCACACCCATCATGTGGTTGCACTGTGAAGCAGCATTTGCAAAAGGTGTGTTTTGGAGAGAAAGTTTAAGAAGCTGTGTCTATGCAGAGTCAGAAAAGGGGTGGGGGAGTCCAGAAATCATGCAGAAGAAGAGAAGGAATGGCCTGAGTCTTTAGGGACCCCTGGTTAATGGAATTAGCAGAATGGACATCTCGTGTTCTGAAGGTCTTTTGCTCTTGAAACAGGACAGCTCAAAATATATTGAGTTTGGGATTTTGAATCCTCCACCATGTCTCCGAAGACAAGAGCCAGCCTGTGTAGCCTTGGGCAAGCCGTACAGTCCCAAGGCACCTCCAAAAGAAGGAAAGGGGAAACCACTTCTGCTTATTCTCTACTTGGAAAACCACAGAAAGGGTCATCTTAAGTCAAAATTCATTTGACGACATGCAATGACCATCCCCATCGCCCTTAGCATGTTTCCTTTTCTCCTAGACCAGTGAATGGCGGCTGAGCTACATCAACAAAGACTTCTCCGTCTGCCCCTCCTACCCGCCCATCGTCACCGTCCCGAAATCGATGGATGACGAATCTCTTTGGAAGGTTTCCACCTTTCGTCACGGCGGCCGTTTCCCAGTCCTCAGCTACTACCACAAGAAAAACGGGATGGTGAGTCGGGCCCTGGACGACAGGAATACGTTTTTGGGGGTCGATGAGATAGACGCGGAAGGCCATAAGCCATTCTGCATTCCGCTGCCTGAATTCCAGGCCTTGAAAGACCCTGTTTCTTGTATGAGGTATGAGGTATGGAGTGGTGCAAGGGCTGATCTGAGTCAGTAATGGATTACTATGAGAGAAGGGCTTGGTTTAACAATCCCTGGGCAGGATAATTAAACCCTTATGCACCATGATCGAAAGTTTCACATTGAGGAAGCTAGGAACTATTTGCTGAGTCCATTGGAAATCCAGTATACACAACTCTAGGGGATTAAAATGTCCCCTCTCGATTCACGAGGGTTTAGAACCATACATGGGCATGAGAGTCTCTCTCTCTCTCTGTGTGTGTTCACACAGTTGTCTCTCCCTTTCCTGACAGGGCTGCTTTTGCTGTCGATTTACTGTTTTGTCAGGGGGTTAGACTTGATGACTTTTGGGGTCCCTTCCTGCTGTCCAATTTCATGGTAGTATAATAATGCACAATCCTGTACTGAGCACACTGCTGGACTGCAGTGAGTCCTGGACCCATCGTGCATGGCAGGA